GCGGCGGCATTTGTTTACTTCCCTTATCCCCCGCTCGAATATTGTCCAGCGAAATACCGTATATGACACAAGATAACACACCTACATAAGAAAGCACACCCCCCACAAAATACGACACCCCGGTGATAGTTGTGGGCGCTTCTGACAAACCATCGATTCATCACCGGGGGTACATAAGATAACACACCCCAGTGATATTTTTAGTTACGCCGCATATAGTCACGGGGCCCCTCCTTCTTTATCACCGGGGTGACAGCATCTGCCCTGGGCAATCACACACACAACCACGTCAGCTGTGTGCGGGGTAACACCCCGCATGGAGACCCCCAACAACATGAACGTGCAGGCAGAGCAGAATGCAGCCGCAAGTACCTCCGCTCCTTCGACAACTGCTTCGACTGCAGCAGCGCAGGCGCCACAGCAGATCACCTCCTTTGGGCCCGCGCACTCCTCTACGCAAGAGGCTCCTACTCCTGCTCCTGCTGATCTAACAGAAGCAGGAGCTGGAGCAGCAACAGGCGCCAACATGACAGCCTCCGCATCGCCTCAGCAGCAGCCAGTTGCACTCTTGCTCTCAACAGTTGCTATCACCCCCCCTTATTTATCACACCCCAAAGCACACGCTGTGGCTGTTCGGACGTGCTATCACACCCCCTTTTATCACACCCCCAAACACACGCTGTGGGTGTTCGGACGCGCTATCACACCCCCTGTTTTATCACACCCCCTTAGGGCCCCCTGCGAGCTGCACTTTATCACCCGGGGTACACAAGATAACACACCCCTCACAGGATACCACACCCGGTGATAATTTTCAAACTCCAACATGTTATCACCGGGGTGTGTTTTCTTGTGTCATATACGGTATGTCATCCATCCCTACGTCGTTCTGAGTCCCACATGGCGATTGCGTCAACAGCACCAACCGCCTCAACTTCCCTCTCCACTGCTTTCGTTGCTGCTGTAAGACCTCAAAATATTCTGTCCTGCTTTCACCCATCGATTTTCCAACGGCGAAAAGAACCGCCAAGACTCTCCCTCATGTTGATAGCCAGAGAGCGAGTCTGCTGATACTGCTCAACCTACAATATGGACAGAAGGGATTGGACCATGGCGGGTGGGTGCGATGATGTGGATGTGCGAGACTTACAGCGGAATACTACCTCTGCTTTCTTCTCCTGGTGGTTCGAATCGCGCGCGCTTGAGATCCGCTTTAGTAATCCCGCCTTTCTTCCGGAATACCCGGAGATGGGGTGAGGTATCTCCTACGAACTTTGGGCACAAATACCTGTGAAGCACGACCATCTCTCGCCGAAGCACGACCAAACCGGTGTCACGAAGTTTGGACCGCAACAGAAACAAAACCGCCATAGGTAGCTGGGAAGAGAGACTCCAGGACGCCTACGGCGCTGTCACTTGGACGCCGTGAAATCACCGGGTCGCTTCGACAGGAAGACCGAATCAACCATCGGAGGAAACGTCTCCGGGCTTGAACCGCAACAAAGATAAACCGCCGGAGGTCGCTGGAAAGACTCATTCCGGGATGCCTACGATGCTGTCGCTTGGACGCCGTCAAGCCGCCGGGTCGCTTCGACCGGAAGCCGGGATCAATCGTCGGGGGAAACTTCTCCGGGTTTGGACCGCAAAACAACATCGCTTCGGATTGCTGCTGGGCATAAGTCCTGGACTCCGGAGGATCATCGTCATCTGGGGACCGCGGAAAGCATCGAATCTGGGGTCGCACCAACATCTATGGAGCAAGATCGCCTTGCCGAACGCAATGAGAAATGGGCACGATCGTCCTGCTGAACGCCATGAACATTTATAGTTAGTATGAAAGGGCGGGTGGGAGGCTTCGGAGACTTTTCTAATATATTTATAGGAAGCATACAGGACATGCATCAAGTGAAAGTAATCGCGAGAGTAAGCACAGCCAACTACGCTGTTCGCATATTTTAGTCGGTTTCCGAGGAACTGTGAACCCGAGCGGTTCTTTTAGCAGAGGATGTTTTCTGGTATTAGTCAAAGCTGCGCGTAAGTTGTTGTTTAGGTGAGAAGGATTGATCACCCATCGTAGCGAAGCAGAGCGGATTCATTTGTTGAGTGATCATAAAAGGAGTAATGGACCTTTGTTGTAAAAAGTCATATATGATTCCACATGTCAAAGTGGAGACAACGTTCCAGAGAGCAAACTAGGAATGGCTTGTTGGCAAGTCATTTTCGGTATGAAGGCATTTATCAAGGAAATCTCGTAGCGGCAAGTATCGGTAGAGCGAGTAGCATTGGATTTTGAATCGCTGAATTTATGGTCTAGGTTACCTCCATCGAGGGGTCGTGCTAGCGACATTTCCGTGTCCATGTAGACAGTAGCCAAGTTCTATCCCTTCAGTGTTCGCTGCAGGTAACATAGACAAAATTAGTCGTATCCAAGCTACGACAGAAATATTTATGTGTGCTGTAGAATGGTACCGCCATCAGCAGTAGCAGCTAGCAGACGTGCAGTTATAGTAGAGCAGAGACCACATGCTGTGTGACACTTTCCCGTACGGGACTGTCAGCAAATGGTCAGAATAGTTTTCGGGGGAACCCCAAGATAGCTGGTTGATTATTCGGGGTCTCCCCAACAACAGCAGATATTGTTTTATTGTTTCTAGTGATCGAGAGCTGGTCGGCGCGCCTCTCTCTGTCACTCTCATCTTCCACCATCAACACCAGGCCCTGGGGTCAGCCTGTAATAACGCTATAACGACATCAACGATACCTTGTATCTCATCGTTCTGAGGGTCACCGAGTTGCGTAACAGCACTCAGCAGTGTTCCACCTCTTGCGTATTCCAGGCTGTCTTGCTTCTCAGCGAGCACCCGCGGTGAGCTTTCCAAAGCGGTGCAGCCCGACGCGCTACCGCTGCAAGCTTATCACCAAGAACGAAGAGTGCGCTACTTTTCTCCTTCCTTAGAAGTCAACAGATCGTAAACCGGTGCCCAATAGATCTCGCTCTGGTCCCAAAGGTGGGATGCTTGTCACCAATCACACCTAACCAACAGTATCAATCCCTGCTACAGCATTAGTTTAGGCTTCCCGGAAATCAAACTTTGGGCCCCTGCATCGCGCGGAGGAACAGGCCGATATTTAGTATTTAGAGCCTGTTTTCCCTCCTGGGACGGAGGGAAAATAACGTTCGCGTTTCCAGCGCCGCGGCTCATTACACCCAAAAGCTACAGAACGTCCCACACTGAAGAACTTCGCAGTAAACCCTTCTAGTGCTTGAAGCCCAAATTGGGGGTACTTGCGGGACACAGCACTCAAATGCTGATTTACCGCACCTTGGTCACCCTAGGCTCCGCTGTGTGAAACGCACGTGAGCGCCCTTGGTCTATCATGCTTGGCTGAGGTGGTACGCTGTGTGATATGCTATGTGACGCCTCTCCTCGACCTCTGACTTGCTTCACCATTTCCCAAGCCGCGTGCCCCCTAGGTCGTACTGTAAAATTGGGAAGACTGCTGTACATCGCCTGGTACTGCAAAAAATTGCTGACTTGGCTTCAGTATCAATTTGGGGACACTTTTCATTCTGAAGCCAAGTCACCCTTTGCCTGGCAAGGAGCTCAGATTCTTTGGAGGGACTGCTGCCCCTCGACCAATGGTGACAAACTTTTTGTTTTGTGTTGCTCTCGTAACACTCCTTTTTTGCAGAGGGACTGGGTACTACTGTACGTAAAATACGAGGGCAATAAAAACTTGAGACAACTTGAGCTTAAAAAAGACATCAATAACAGGTACGTGCTCAGGTGCGTGCTCAGTCAGTCATGAAACCCACACTATTATGCATATAATCGTCGCCGCGGGGGCAACATGATGTACAGCAGTCTACTTCTGTATTGTCTCTAGTACAATGTAATGTACTGCTCTGGTGTTTCTGTTTTGCAATACAAGTACAGAGGTGGTGCGTTCTTGTATAGATTATGGCTGCTATTGAATTTCCGTTGGGAGGGAGGTAGGAATCACTTGTTATTCGACAGCTCGATCCTCACACCTTATTTCCTTGTGAGCCCTGGAGTGCGGTGTGCTGCTTGAGTGTGTATCGCGTTTGAAGGTGAACGGAGGGGGGAATGGCGGCGCGCAGGTTTCCTACTACCTTCAGCGGCCGGTGTTCGATTCAACCATGAGGCGTTTTCAAGCAACCGTGTCGACAAAACTAGGGCAAAGGATCTACACAAGGTTGGGTTGGTCAAAACACACAGCAACCAAGAGCGAGGCTGACTGGATCACAGCAGTGGGCGAAAGCTGGAGAGGAGGATGCCCGCTCATGAGGGAGACGAAGATTTACCGCGGGAGGTGGGATACACCAGGGTTTTCGGGCAGAAAGTCTGGACTTCTTTTTGAAAAATAACAAAGTCAAGTCTCTCTCTTTTTGAACCGCCCGATACTGCTCTGTGTGGCGTCGTCCGTCGTTCATCTCACATTACTTCCCGTGCTTTCGCCGAGTTTGCGATGTGTGCAATAGACCGCATGTATCAATGGAGAACACAAAGTAGTGGTGTTCCGCCCGTATGAAGCACCTTTTCCATGAGTAAAGCTCAAGGCCTCACAGCGGTGTTGCTTGTACCATTGTAGTCTCCGGCGGTAGACGAGGCGATTCTATGTGTGCCTAGAACCGCAGTCTATGCTCCAGTTAATGCCAGCCTTGGCGCACGACATCATATACTCAAAAGCTTCTAGCCATTAGAGCAAGAGTACAGGATTTAGTGTAGTGCCGGCGGCTGGGCGCAATTTCTTGAACATTTTTTCTCGTGAGGCGGCCGGGCACTGCGGTGCCTGTTTCGTTATCTTTCGCGGTTTGCCGACAAATTACTACTTCGTCAGTCTGGATCCATGCCTACTTCCGACGATCGGGGGTATCGCTGTATGGTACTCGCGTACTGCTGTGCCTGCAGCGTACTTCGATCTTGAGGCCAGTTGCCGAGACCATTGTGTCCGTACGTCGCACAGCAGTTCCTCCTATGGTGAGGAATATGTGTGGGTGGTCGTTTGTATCTTTTCCGCATGTGCCTTCGCGCCACTACCGCCGTGATTAATAGATAGGGCCACGCATAGGAACACTTCAAGATAACAGTTGGGTGCAAGGTGCTCGTCTCCCTGCAAGCCTACAACAGTAGGTCGGTGTGAGTATGTTGCTGGTGTAAATATGAGTCTACGCTTGATGGTCGGCGATTACCGGAAATTATTTCCCATATACAAGCGGTCGCCAAGTACTGGTAGCAGAGTGAGGCTAATCCATGTTAGATCTGTGTGCGCCGGCCGGCTTATCCTTGGGGGTTGCCACCGGCCACGGCGAGGTTCGGTATTCCTTGAACCGCTCCTAGCCTAGTCGCTGATATGCATATGATGCACACGTCAACGCGGAACGTGCCACGTTATTTTCTTTACAAAGAAATACTCCTCAACTTTGGTCTCTCTCTCGTTCTCTCTCTCTCTCTCTCTGTCTCTCTCTCTCTCTCTCTCTCTCTCTCTCTCTCTGTTTGTCGTCGGCCTTATTTTTGCCTCATATTTGACACGACCATGCTACTATTGTAGAAGCGAGATGAAGCGGAGGGGCAGGTCAACACTGCAGCAAGCGACAGCGGACACCACGGTGAGATTGAAGCCCCCATGCTCATGGATGTCTCACGCGCGTTGGACATCTTTTGGAGTGACTTACTTTCGCCCTGTCTTCTTCCAAGTCACACACATCTTCTCCTGCATATACTCGATTTCTAACTTGATGTCATTCAGGCCTACGATCTGAACATGTCAGTAACACCTGGATAAGATGTACAACATACCTCTTTCAAGCAAGGGAAGTACTGCTATACTCGACAATCCAAAGGGTTGCGCCCACCCTGCATGTTTGACTCCTACAGGAAACAAGCCGTAGCATCACTTTCGAGAAATCGGACGAAAACACGAAAGCGTGCTGATACGGTACAACTGCATGGAAAGGATTTTTACACGCTAGCTACTGAAAATTCGGAACTCTCGACTTTGTTTGACATTTCGTTCAATAGCTCTCCCACGGCAGCAGTCGCGGCATCCATGAGCAGCAGTAGCCATTCCCCCGTACGAAAAATTCCACGCGACTGCTGTTTTAAAGTGCGGGCTAATTACCTCGCCGCCGTCGCTCGATATGGATTTGTCGGCATGTCGCGGATCCCGATCGCCCAACGTGCGTCACCCCCTGACCCCTTCCTCGCCACGGTCACGGCCACACACGCACCGTTCGCGAACCATCCCTCCCACAACCATCAGAACCTCTCGTGCCTGACGGAGGAGGGGCTGTTTCAGGTCCTGGCCTGCCTCAGGGAGGTCCACAGACAGAGACCGTCCAAGCGACGGCCGAGTTGATGGTACAGGGCGGCAGCGATGGCGTCGGCTGTGGGAGGTCGATCGCCAGGCGTGACAATAACGAGACAAGCGACAGCATCGAAATCGGCAACAACGACAACAACAACAACAGGGACGTAGGCAACGGCAGTGGTATCTCACCGACTGACTGGGGTCCCCACCAGCAGCAGCAAGGGGACCACCGGCAGCACTCGCTTCGTCGCGAGACGACCGGCCAAGACCATGGCGGCGGCGGCGGCGGCGCTACGAGAGGCTACCTTGAGCGGAGGAGTACAAGTACCGCTGCTACTAGAGAACCTACCGTCACCATGTCTCCTGTCGAACCGTTCCACATGGCGGCGGTAGGGGGGCATCAGCACGTGGGGATGATGACGATGCAAGACGGACGGCATGTCGGGAGAGATACTGCCGGCAGCGGTAACGTCTATAGAGCAGGCGGGGCATCTCGTGGCGGGAGCGGCACGGGGGGGAGTGGAGGAGGGGTGGAGGGGTCGCGGCGAGGCCTTGTACCCGCCCCACAGCGGAGAAGGCCTCCCTCCACTGCTACCGCGACGTATACGTGGGGCGTGGAGCCGCGGAAGGGCGGAGTGCGGGAAAAGCTCACGGCGACCATCGATGCGGCAGACATGGCTAAGGTGCGTACCTCTGTGTAGACATGGCAAGTAGCTTTCGCTAGTCTGCGGCTCACGAATCGTTCACCAAATTTATGTCACGGTAATGTAGGCCGGGGTAATCATGTGTAACGCCGAACGGTGCGTGGTATGAGTAGACTGGCGCCAGAATACACACTCGCTCGCCCAAGCGCTGTTTTTGCCTACTTCCGGCAACACCCCCCCCCCCCCCCCGCGTATGCCTCGGCCTGCGGGCAGGTGTGGTCGAACGGGGACGTGGTGATAAACACCGCCGGGAAGGGCATCACGCCGGCGACCAAAGTGATCCTAAATCTCGTGCTGGGTGTCTTCAAGGTGGAGGTGAGAGAGAGGGGCAGTGCCCTTCGCAGGTTTTATCTGTAAGTATGTAGCAAACATGCTGGGTAAGGAAGGCGATCGGGGAAGTGTGGGTTAGGGTTACCGTTAGGGATGATAGGGTCTGCGTACCCCCTCCCTGTTGTGTATCCTCGTACGCTTGATTTCTGACGAAGACGGTCCCAAGGGGAAGGGTGCTCGGCGTCTCTCTATATACGCGCGTCGGAGAGAGAGAGAGAGTGAGGTCGCCTGTCGCGCGGAAGCCGCGCTCTTTTTGACACGTCACTACTGTGAGGTGAATGAACTCTGGTGTGTGTGTCCGCGAAACGGTCCTTTCTGTTTGCGTAGGGGGGCCGGCGTGGCGTGGCAATCAAAAAGTGCCGCGCTCCAAGGACCAACTTTTTTTTTTTTTCTATGCACACCCTTTTTATTTTGGGCATGATGTCGCATGCCTCACTTGCCGTGTTGCTGCTGTAGTTCGGTATTCGCATTCGCCTCGCCTTGCCTATTGTGGTTGCATTCTGTGCTGTTGCGCGTGTCTCCTTTCCCTGTTGCCTGGGCTTGACATGCTCGTCTGGGTGTCGCTGTTTGCTCTGCCGTGCTTCGAAAGATCGCGGAAAGCGAGAGCAAAAGCGGCGGCGACGAGAGGAAGCCCAAGACGTGGCACATCGAGCACAAGAGCGGATACAAGCAGGCCTTCTCGGAAAACATGTGAGATCGACAAGCAACCTCCGGGTGTGTGCCGCGACGACCTCACGCCTCGAGGTGTTGATTTTCGAGATGGTGTCTGTTGGAGGCGTGCGGCGTACTCGGAGCCATAAGCTAGTCAAGGGGAAAGCGGGGGCAGATGCTTCTCAGGGGGGGGTATGGTGTTTCATTGATGGCCGGGCGGGGAAAGGCACATGTCCGCATGTAACGAACAGACCTCGCCTCCGGTCGACCTGCGGCATTTCGTTCCTGTTTGAAAAAAATATGGCGTGGAGTGGCTGATGACGCTTGTGCCGCGGCCTGCCTGCGCCGTCACCGTAACCAACAACCCCTGCCCTCCTTGGCGCGGCGCTGCAGGAACATGTCCCTGTTTCCCAACCGGGATTGGTCCTACATGAAGACGAGGCTGAAGCGGCTACCGACGAAGATATTTCTCCCCAAGGAGCAGCATTTCTTGGCGCCTCCCGCGGACGGAGATTATGTCGACGAGGAGCAGGAAGAAGCCGGGCAGCAGCGGCGGCGGCGGCAGCCGGATCTCTTGCCAGCTGCCGCACGCCCCAGCCAACGGCAGCGGCGCGAGCCACCGCCGGCCAGCAACGGCTATTTTCACCACGACGAAAACGTCGGTAGCGCCGCTTCCCGTGTCAACGACAACGATCGTCCGTCGTGGCCCGGCGATGAACCAAGCAGACCGGCGCTCGGACACGGAAGCGAGCAAGACGGCGCCGGTGAACCGCTCCCACCGCCTCCGGCAGGGGTCGGCGGAAACGGCGATGCCGTGCCCTCGGCGGCGTTCGCCGCGGCAGCGCTGAAAGAAGGAGTCCCGCCGCACCTGATCCAGAGGCTCATGAGGGCCGTGGGCGCTTCGGGCGCCGCGGCCGCAGCGGCCATGCCGGACGATGGGGGGGACGCTGTCGTGGAAGACCTTTTCGCGGCTGCGGGGGGCGGGCGGGGCCGGGTGGTCGGCCGGAGGGTGTCTCCGGTAGGCGAAGAGTTTAGCAGCAACGGGGTCGGCCATGGTGGCGACGGCGGCCCTGGGGGCCCCGAGCGGGGGGGGGCGGGGGGAGGGGGGTCGAGCGCCGTGTGGTCGTCGACGTTGCCGCCTTCGTGGAGCCAGCAGCCACCCGTTCCGGTGGTATCCGAGGCGGTGATGTCGCCTCCTCGAGGCGGGTACCCCCACGGCGATGAGGGGGCCTGCGGTGAGTGGGAGGGGGGGGTCGGCGGCGCAGGCGCCGGCGCCGGCGGCAGGCGGAGAAGCAGGAGCCGAGGCGGGGGCGAGGAAGAACGGGGACGGTTTTCTTCGGTGCCTGCCCACGCCGAGGTGTGGATGCCGTGGAAACCCGGGGACGATTCTCTGAGCCCCCCTCCCCGAAGCAACCAGGGGCGGGACGATTTCCGTCGCTTCGGACGAGATCATCATGGAGGCAGAAGCGGGAGAACAGGGGGCCGGGAGGAGGTAGATCGACGGTGGGACGATGGCCGGGGGTGGGCTGGCAGGCGGGGGGATGATGCGCCGCAGAGGGCGATCGTCAACGATCACCGACATAAAAACGGCGGCCGCGGCGGTGGTGGCGGCTTTCACGGCCATGGGGGCTCCCAAGGCAACGCTGGTGGTGGCGGCGGCGGCAACAGGCGCAGCGACCAACGGTACGTCCCGCAAGCATCATCACTGCCATCATCGTACACGCGGTCCCCGCGGCGAAGCACGGCTCCTTCGCCGCCCTCTCGCCGGGGCGGGCGGCCCGGGACAGACGGAGAAGAACGCCGACGGCGAGGGTTTCCGGGTGACGCGGAGGCGCCGCGGCGGCAGGATGACGATGGCCGGAGGCAGCGGCGACGACGGCGGCGAGATAGCAGTGACTACGAGACGGAGAGGAGGCAAGGGGGCGGGGATCGCAACGGCGCTGACCGCGGCGAGAGCGAGGACAGCCCGGGTGGGACTGGGCTGTCTGTTGGTGGCGACGGGCTGGAGCGGCGGGACTCTTCCTACGACCCCGACCAGTTCGACCCCAACGCGTACGACCCGGGAGAGGTTACCGTTAAGCGGGACGCGGTGACCGGGAAGCCGAAGTTGACGCCGGCGGCGGCGAAGCAGCTGGTAGACGCCGTGAGAAAGGCGGAGGGAAGGAGTGCCAGCGCTAGTAGGAGCAGCTCGAGCAACACCAGCCGTAGCAGCGACAGCCTTACTCGTGACGACGGCAGCAGGCGCAGACGCCGGCGGGACACGCTCTCGCGGAGCCGGAGCCGGAGCCGGAGCCGGAGCCGCTCGCAGGCAGCCGTTGGTAGGCGCACGTCTGGGGACTCGAAACGGGGGAGGGGGGCGTCCGGGGCAGGGGCCGGCCGCGAAGCTTCTGACCGTAGGCGGGATAGCGGCGATTCAGGGTGAGTTGTAATGTTCCGCCGTCGCAGAGAGGGTTATCGGGAATAGCGGACGACCTTCGTTTTTGATGTGTCGAAGGTGACGCTATTTTATCCGCTCCTGTGCATGCAACCAGCGTCGTTGTATGCATAGAAGTGTTAAAATTTTTGTTTGCCGCATCAGTGACGATAATTGTTTCGTATGCATGTGCGCTTCCGTCTTCATGCACCATGAACCTGGCTCCTTTCCTGCTACAACGGTTGATGCCTATCCCCCTCAAAGGTTCGACTACGGCACCGAAAAACGAGAGCGAAGCCTCGATCGGACGAGGGCTGACGGCGGCGGGTTTACCGACGATTGGCGTCGGCACGAAACCGTCGGGTACGTCACACCGGCCTCTGCAGACGTGGACGTGCATCTGCCGCCGCCGCCGCCGACGCGGGGCCATTCTTACGACCCGGGGGTTCCACCACCGGGCGGGGACCAGTTCCACGGGAGTGTTGCGGGCAGCGGGGCGGCATTCCCCGAAGCTAACGTCGAAGCGCCTCGTTTTGCCCCCCGTCAGCAGCACGAGCAGCAACAGCACCAAGTGCAGCAGCAACATCCGCCTCCTCCGCCTCCGCCCCAGCAACAGCAGCAGCAGCAGCAGCAGCAGCAGCAGCAGCAGCAGGTGCTTCTTTCTCCACAACCCCCGGCGGGGCAACATTTCCAGAACCACCCGGAACCGCAGATGCAACTGCCGCCGCCGCCGCAGCAGCAGCAGCAGCAGCAGCAGGGGCCTGCACCGGCAATGCATCACCCACCACCACCACCCCGCCGACAGCAGGAGTTTTCACACCCCCAGCAACCGCCGCTTCCACTGCCGCCACAGCAGCAGCAGCAGCAGCAGCAGCAACAACAACCGATGCAGCCGCAACAAGGCCTTCAGCAACAGCAGCCGCCACACCTTGTGCTGCTGCCCCACCCCCCGCCGACGCATTTTTTTTTGCCGGGCCGCTGATACCACTAAGGCACGTCTCGGAGAAGCGGTCTGCTTTATTGACTAACGCCCCACTGTGTATTGGTTGAGTGGTGGGATGTTCTCTGGTCGGTTCGTGTGGTGGCCCCTTTTTTTCTCCTGTAGAGATCAAAGGGCGAGTCATGATGCCGTGTCTCGGAATTGTGAGATCGGTTGAGTGAAGGCCTGATATATTGTGGAGTAGATGCGGACGCAAAGGGGGTCATTGGTGTTCTTAGATACCCTGGATAATCGGCAAACCGTGAACTTTTCTGCACCATGAGTCTTTGGCGCCCACGTCCCCCTTTGTTTTTGACGGCAAAGGATTGCCGACATGTAGATATCTGTTGCGATGTACACCGGACTTGACCCGGTCGGGTTCGGCTAGAGCGGTTCTGCGAAGAGCGAGTGCTCTCGCCTTCTTGATGCACCGCAACACAACGGCCTTTTCGATCGAAGTTTTGCCACCATGACACGCTGCATGGGCTGCTTTCGTTGCAGCAAGCCGCTGATGAAATGTCTGCGTGTACCTTTGACATCTTCTGCACGATATGTGATAGGAGTGAATGACGTCAACCTATGATTTTGGGTTTATTTATTCTTCGCCTTTTTTGTTTTTCTTGTTCGAGAGCGCGCCCCCTCTCCCCCCCTCTCCGCGGACTTTGAAGCTTGAAGCCCGAGTCTTTCGTTGCGGAGGAAGAACTTAAACGGGGTCTTTGGTCGCACGAAGCGGTAGATGCACAGCACAGGCTGTTGATATCTTTTCACGCAAGTCGCCCGGTTCTTCTGTTCATTAAAGGTCAGGCAGGACATACTTCATTCTGTAGCGGAAAATAACGGGGCTCCGACCTGCTTCAGGAGTCGGAGAAATGGCCTCCAACTGCCGTGTACGCCCGCAAACAGAGATTGGTATGATTCGTTTCTCCCTTAGGGCAGGCGGACAGCCTCACTATCGCTGGTAGGGCTGTGAAGCCCGACCTTTCCCGACAACCGCTGTGTCGACAACACCTTTCATATGAAGTGTTTCCACCAGTTGGGCTGCAGCTGACTTACCCCGACAGTCCACGTACACACAATCGTCGCTAGATCGAACCGAGACCAGCCGATCAGGGCAGCCATGTCAACGAACGCTCACAACAACAACATTCTTCGGGAGCTCCTTCCGGTGAGGTCAACATACACTCACAAAGCTGGACCCCGACATTGGCCCGAGCGCCACCAGTACCCCTGTGCGCACCATCCTCTTGAGAATTACGCTTCGCTCAACAGCACCCACAACTGACGAGGCAGAAGAGGTCGACATAGCAGCACGGGTGCAGCAAGCAGCTGCCCTTGGGGGATGAAAATGAACATGTGATTACTGCCTCTACCGTGGCGTCAAGATTGTTTGTGTTGTTTGTGATCACCTCTCTGGATTCCTTGTCCGGCGGGGAAAAGACGCCTAGAATAGTCCAAGGTTCGCTGCTATCCTAGCCTTCGTCGAATCATGTCCAAAAAGTAAATATAGCCTCCTGCCCAACTCAAAACGCACGCGACATTCGTCGCCACCGCCGCCACCAATATGTTCCTCCGCTGTGTTCAAACTTTGCTGTCCGCCTCAAAACATGCCTCGCCTGGAACGGCCGGCTAATCGACGACTAACGTATCCACGCTCGTCTCCTTCGTTCACGACCCATCGTGAGGGGGTGCGACGAGAGTATTGCTGACCGGAAAATGCCCGTGCAGGCAATCACTTCTGCTGGCAACAAGTCTCTTTTACCCCCCGCCCAGGATGCGCACCCCCCAGAAGGCTTGCGCGTTGATCCACTACAGGCGCCTCGATGCCACTCGATGGCCTTAAGACCACCTTCGTCGGTTCGCCTCCTCTTTGCAACTCCGTTGCTGCAACCGCAAGCTCTTTAGAGCCAGATCTATCAGCGGGCAGAATATCTCGACTGCAAAAAACGAAAGAACGTTAAACTTTGTCCTATCTTCGTCCCTTTTCCAAAAAAACACTCGACATACCGGAGGCGTATCATTTCATCCAGCCCGAAACCATCGGGCAAAAAACTCAGCTTGTGAACACCAACAGGTCCTAGATGGTGTTTGTCATTGGCGGCGGTACCGGGAGTGCCCTCATGTTCGGGCTACGCACTTCCGCCAGAGCGAGGGCGTAATCACGGTGCGATGACACGCGTCTTCACTATACCATCTCTCCCGCCGCCAACGTCTTTCCAGACCTTTCCTCAAAAGGGTCATTCTCCCCGTAACCTCCCTGACCTAGAGGGCGTGCACCCGCTTTTTGATGTTGGCGATCGCCTTCCCCGGGTTGAGGTGTTTCGGGCACGTCTTTGTGCAGTTCATGATCGTGTGACACCTTGGCAAGGAGGAGAGGTAAAGCGACGAGAGACGGGTAGGGGGGGGGCAAGAGAAACAATTAAATAGGAGGGAAATAACATGGAATGGGGTCTCGAAGGTAGGATGCCCGGAAGTTCAACCCTCGTGAAAAGCGCCGAGGTTGTGTCAAGTGTGGCGTCTGCTCGAAATGCTGGCTGCGAGGAGAGCTGGCTTGGAAGGTGCCGCGGTCACATCAGACAAAAAGTGGTGCCGTCTATAATTAAGAGTCTCCTTTCGGCCACGGCTTCGACTTCCTCGGGAATATAGCAGAGAGAGATTGAAACAATGTCCCAACGAGAGCTGAGAATTGTTGTTCGTTGTTCGTTGTTATCGCGTACACTGCTGCCTGCCCTCCCCCCCCTCCGCCCCTCTCCCCCCCAGGAAGATTAAACACTGACCGGAATAGCTTGAAGGCATCATCGAGAGACTCCAAGCGCTCCTTGGTGTAGTCATCTCGCGAGTCGTCGATCCAGCGATACGCCTGTCACACGACCAAATGGGGGCAAACAACAGGCATCAATGCGTCAGAAAATTTAGTAGACGAAGGTCAATGCATGGAGCTTGAATAGTATACCAAACCGAGTGCAAAAAACAGGATGTGCACTGCTGTACGCTTTGATTTTCGGCAGATCCTGTCCGTCCGCGCCCCCTCGATACTTCTTACACGGAGGTGATAGATGCCCAGTTGCGGGATGGGTCACAACCCATAAGTTCACTTCCCTCCGAATATCAACCTTCTGCTGTTGTGCTCCGCTGTGGGGGAGGAAGCAATATCCTAGATTTACTTCAATCTGCTTCCATTAGCAACCTTGACATGTGCACTGCCGTCTGCGGCTAGGACATTGCCTCCCCCCCCGCAGCAGAGTACAACAGCAGAAGGTTCACATTCGAATGGGAGTGAATTTATGGGGATGTGACCCGTCCCGCAACTGGGCGCATCTATCATCTCCGTATCTTTCGAGGAGGGGGACATAACGCCAACGGAATACACGAAGGGGCGCAAAACTCCCACCCCGAACTCATCATCCGCCACCTCCTTGGGGAGGAAGAGTCATTGTTCTCGTGCACTACCCAGCACAGGTGTAAGACACCGGCGCTTTATGCGGAGGTCCCGCGGAAGGGGGCGCGGCTAGCAGACAGCACTTCTGCTACGAAAAAGCAACAACAACAACAACAACAACAGCTTCGGAGAAGTTAAATACGATTGTTTACATGCCAGTGTACCTCCACTTCCCCCTGTCTCTGCAATGCAGGCAACACCGGCAGGCATGCAAATTATGTGCACCTCCAATTACGCCTGCCTCTGCCATGCAGCCAACACTGGTTGGCACCAAATCTGACTGCTTGCAGGCCCCTTGTACGTCCAACTGCCCCCCTCTGTTCTACTATCTCGTCCTTCACCTGCATGAGGACTGCGGGGCCGAGGTATTTGTCGGCGTTCCACCAGTACGACGGACACGAAGTGCTGCAGCAGGCGCACAGGATGCACTCGTACATGCCGTCCAGCTTCTTGCGATCTTGGATGGACTGCCAGGGGGGAGTTTTGAAAAAACGCGATGCCCGCGGGGGTTATGTTTGCCTGCGATACCGCAAGCTGGCTGCCGTCGGAACACCGACAAATGACTCAAACTGCATCAGGGTACGAGGATGGCCCAAACATGTTCTTTGTCTCTGCCGTGATAGAACCAGACAGTCTCCTCGAGTTGGACACATTTGTCGTTGTGGGAACGCCAAAGTCTCCAGGCGTCCACGTTCAACAAATGATCATCATAGACGTTTATGCTGTGCTTGGAGGAGGTCCCTTCGGTGAAAGGAACCAGCTAGCTTCGGCTCGGGGTGTCGTAAACTGGTGCAAGGAAAAGAAAGGCGAATTCCAAAACTCGCGAAGCTCCACAAAACTCGAGGTTTCGACCCTGACCATCTGCGTGCGTCTCCCCGTTCATTCCGGATGTCCACCTTTCGGCAACTTTGGACGGATCAGTCGCAGACATGCAGGAAGAAGGGAAGGCCACACCGAAGAGTTGTCTCTCTTTAGGTGGTCCCCGAAATATGCCAGCAAGTAGATTTTTTCTCAGGAGTTGTTGGGAAGTCAGAGCTGTCTGCAATTAAATTCCCAGCTGCGACGTGGGCCGACCCCACGCAAATCCCTCTCAACGCTCGAACCAAACAACCACAACGCATTGTTTCTCGACGCCAAAAAACGGCTGCTGCCCGCACGACGACACGACACACCTGTAGGTGTTCGACGTCAGGGTCCTTGTCCTTCTTCGTCTTGAGCCACGGCTCAATGCTCTTGTACTGCTCGTAGAAGTTGGTCATGTCCGGCACGAGGTCCTTCTGGACGAACATGTGCGGCAGCGGGTAGATCTTCATGGGAGCCGAGTCCTGGGCATCAACACAGGTAGCAACAGGGGGGGGGGAGGGGGGGGCAAGGAACGAAAAAAGAAGCGCTTCTGTTAATGGCGTGGAATCAGGGAGATATGGATGCGTGAGAGGTCGGGGTTTGTCGAGGGAGGTGGCGTCGAGCGAGCGGGGGCCGGGGAAGGAAGGAAGCAGAAAACGAGGGCCAGAAAAATGAATCGATTCGCGAGAATACAAACAGTAGTCGTGACGACCGTACGGCAGAGAGATGGTGCAAAGGGCAACACATATCTGCTTCGCGATAACTGCCACACGCAGCACGCGCCACGGGCAACACCCAATCAGAGCGGCAGGTCTGCCTGTGCCTTTCTCTCCGGTATACCGTACCGTGAGGAGACCGTGGGTGTTTCAAGGTTCATGGGTTTAGACGTGGGTTCTAATGCTTCTGTCCAACAGACGACGCCATCCACGCTCACCTCTTCGATGGCGCAGAGGCAGGCCAGCGTGTTCTTCCCGTTGATGTTCATGGCGCACGAGCCACATATTCCTTCGCGGCATGATCGCCGGAACGTCAGGGTGGGGTCCTGCGTGGTACGCACAACCAACAAGAGAGGGAGAGAGAGGAAAAGGTCAAAAGGTGCACGAAAGCAGGGAGAGCAGGACAGCAACGACCTCTCATCTTATCTCCTGTATTTTTTGTCATCCTCACGCGGCGTATTTCTTGTCTAACGCAGAGAGGTTATCCCATCTTGTCTCTGGCAGACATCTAAGCGTACCATGTTTTGGTGTCTTTGGGTAAGGGGTAGCGGGAGGGGGTTCTAGCCTCTCAAGACATGCACCACTGCACAAGGGGCGACACGAACCGGCCAAAGACAGGCATGTTGTCGTTGATGCCAGGACAAGAGCTAAAACGACACACGTTGCTTCCGCCGTCAGAAACATGGGCATGGCAGGGAGAACACGATTGCAAGACACTCCACAGCGAGATGCACTCCACTGCCGGCAGCTTATGGCCGTCGGAGTACTTGACACACGCGGCGAAAAATATGTCAGCGATAAAGCGGCCCGACGTGAGGTCGCCACATTGTCATAGAACCAGGAGGGTGGGGCGGGGAGGAAAGAAACACAACACAAATCGTCACATCCAAGCTGGACGGCCTGCTGCCGGCAGTCGCTCGCTCACACGAAGGAACACAGTACCGACACAGCAGCCGTGATGGCGTCCACACACACACAACTTGCCTAGGCTCTCAGCCTTGGATATCGTGGGCAACGCGCAGAGGGGAACAGTACATAATTGTGCGTAGCAAGCGGGATGTGTCAAGAAAGCTCACCTGTTCGTTCTTTATCTTGATGAGTGCGTCCAGCACCATGGGCCCGCAGTCGTCTCTGTCTATTGGGTACGTCTTCATGTACGGCTTCTGGTCCTGAATATATCGGAAGGTAGGTGGGTATTCGCGGGAGGGGCGTACTCATGTTTTGAATGCCTGAATTGCTAGACCATTTGGGCCGGGGGGGGGGGGGTGGGGGGGGCATCACCTGTTGTACGCTGCGCGTTCAACTATTCAGAAGCTTTATCATTCTTGTTGTGGTTCATACGCATTGGCAACGGTTTCAGAAGGCGAAAATTGAAGCGGCACTTCGAGCGAAGCGACCAGACGGCGGCTGGTGGTAAACCTCAATCAGCGACGCACACCATCGTCATGATTGCCCAACACCCAACATACCCGCCTCCGCTGTAAGGGTGTGTGGATACTGTCATAGGAAAATTATCCCTTGTTTACTGTGCATTCGTATCATCTTTAACATACGAGTAAAAGCGATCCAAACGCAGGAAGCGCCAAAAAAAGTCGTGCCGCTCCGCCATCTTGGCGAATGGCTGAACCACACGCAACGCAACCCACGCGTTCCATGCCACTTTTGTCGGGTGGTTGCCATGTTGGGGGCTGCTTTGCATACACGGATAAGCATAGAGGCGACCTTGTCAAAGTCGCGGCTTACTGTCTGCATTCCACACACAAGATACACAACACACGGGGGGTACCCGCAAGAGGCTGAGATATGGCACCCACCCTTTGTAAACCGATTTCAATGCTCGATTGCTCCACAACCAAGCTTGTCTGTACCGTACCGTATACCGTACCGTGGTGTTCCGTAAGAGGCGGAGAGATGGCACCATCATCCCCCCTACGATTTTCAAAGCTCGATTGCTCCACAACCAAGCTTGTGCCAACACCAAAAGTGGTGATATTGGAAACGTCTATCTCGTCGACGGCTTTCCGATACACGTATCGGGCTCTTTCCGCGACCACTTCGTTACGGAGCAATCGAGCTTCGAAAGTCGGTCTAGGGGGGTGCCATATCTCCGTCCTTTACGGTGGTAACACCCCACCACGGAAACCACACCCGGGGGCCCGCCGGGGATTTTTTTCGCGACGAAACATGAGCCCATGATCCTAAAACACTGAATACTAGAAGTACCACTTTATGTTGGTATTATTTATGTAGGGTAACATAAATCTCAGGTCAAGTACTCATCGAATCACCGAAGATACAAAAATGCCACGCGTATTCACCGAACATCCGGTGATTAACACATAGAAACATAGAAACACTGCTTTTCAACGAAACAAAACAATGGTATTCTGGGGGGTGTTATCTTACGCCGGGAACCAGACTGGGATAATTAAGGGAAAAATAATTACACGCGCAGAAAGACTACCCATTCGAGATATAATGTAATGCGGAGAATGCATCAAACACACACGAACTCAATTTCGAGATGTGTTCGATGTGAGGTCTGACACTCTGCAGGAGTTGGCACTGCTTCCAAAATACCATGGAGCGCTTCGATTCTACCCGGCCTACTGAAGTGCTACCGGCGGAACTGCTACAGCCTGATCCCGGCACATCTTCGTTGCGGTGTTTGAACTTCCTCCTCAGGTTGCAGCCAGAGTCCAGTCGCCCGGTCATAAAACTGAAGGTTGCTGTTCGGCGGTAGTGCAACATTGATTAGTGATTGACTGACACAGACCTCTGTCTGCGCCGGCCGTGCAGATGTCGCACCTTCTCGTTGGGGTCCCATCGGTATATCTTGAAGGTCTTGACGCTCTCGCTTGACGCGGCAGCCACGGCCGACTTGCACCTGGATGCTCCTCCGGCTGCCTTCCACCCCGCTACCGCTTTGGCTCCAGCAGCAGCAGACCGCCGGCTGCCCGACGCGGCGGCGGCTGCTGTCGTTGCAAGCATCGCTCCTCCTTCCTCTTACAGCAGCTGTAGTGCCTTACCCCGGTTATTCCAAAGCTTCCTCAAGAGAACCTGGTTCCTTTCGCTGGGTGCGCTTCTCTGTGTCTTGCAACAGGAGGGACGATGTTGCTGAATCAGACGATCTATTCCGCAGCAACAACGGGAGAAACGGCGGTGTGGTTTGATCGCAATGGGCCGTTGAAATGGGATGCAATGTTGGCTGTCTGCCGCACGCCGCGGGATACAAAACCAAGCCGTGTTTCCCTACTCCATCTCACCTTCAAGCCGTTCGTCTGCGGTAGAACTATCCCTGCTGTTGCTTTGACCTTCCTTGCTGGCTGCTATATGTGGGGTTGTCTGCTGGTCGGCCTGTCTGTCAGCGCATCTTCGCGGGGATGCCCTCTGTTCCGTTCGTGATCTCACGCAGCCCCCTACTTGTCTCTTGAGCTGTGAGGGAACCGGACACATCACACACACCGTCCAAGGGCGAGTTCGACCTGACTCAGGCGACGCCACGGGGAGAGATGGCTTCGATATACCGGACAGTGGCGCCGGTAGCGTCAGCGCGGAGATGTATCTCGTCGTCCGCTCTCCGCGGTCAGAGGAGCCACGGAAGTTCGGCAGCACTTGTGCCGCAGGTAACGACGGTGTGAATTTGTCGTTATTGTCCCGCACCTGCCAAGGACTGCAGCAGCGCTTGTTGTAGCGGCAGCAGGGCGGCAGCAGAGTGGAAGGTGGTCGCGTACGCCCAACATGTAGCCTACACACACGTGGCTCTCGTGTCTGGTCCAAGCCTTTGTGGTGTTGGTGAGAGTACAGGCCAAGCACTCAAGCAGAGGACGTGTTCATTTCCCTTCAACTCACGCCTTTGGTCCTCCTCCACCTGACCTCAGCTGTAGTAAAGTAAGTTACTGCTGTGTGCGCCTGGCAATGGCATGTGTGCCCCTGGTACGACGTGTGGCAGCAAGCCAAAGGGCACCAAGCTGTGGGGTGCATCTGTGCCCTACTCTTGTTCCTTGTTCTTGGGGCCACACCCAAATTTCGGGCAGTGAACATCGCACACAACAACGTCCTCCCTGTGTTACGGCTGCCCCCTCCCCCCCACTGCACCAAGAGACCAACAGGGGCCGTACTCGTGACGAACCTCACTGAAAAGAACATCCCCACCGTTTAGCTACAAGTGCGTGCAATCAATGTTACTAGCACGTGCGTGCCTTGGGAGAAGCTGTGGCGTTGCGATGTTTCGAATCGATAACTGGCCGTGTTCATGATGCAAGGATTAGACGATGTACCCCTACAACAGTACTTGTAAACCTCATAGTTTTGGTGCTGTGGGTTCGTGGCGTTCAAACCGGCTTGGCTGGGAAAGCACTCGGGAAAGCTGAGTAAAACCGCACCTGCATGGTGCTTTGGGCACGGGTTCCACTGCTTTGAATATACCGATTTGTGCGCAAGCATGAGCTTCAGAATGACCTACCCTCCCCCGACCTGCTGTGTTAGTCTGACGGTACGAGCAGCTCGACGACACTCGCACATAAATCGGGCAGCGAGTGGCTCAAGTGCAGGGGACATGTCAGCACAGAAGTAGCTTGTACCGCAGGCAAAATTGCTGCGTAGAGTTGTTGTGGTTTTCTCCGTTTGCCAAGCACTCTTCATCCGGAGACTGGACGACTTGGATCCTGCCGTTAAACCTAGAGCAGCATACCGCCTGGGACGCCAACTACATGTAGCATACATTTATTTTTCACACATGGATGTTCGCTTGGTTCCGGTCTTGGATCAGCGCGGTCGATACAAGTTAAAAGGGAACACACACACATGCACACACAAACGCACACACAATGACGCCTCTTCATCGATCGGCCGGCTAGCGCGGTCGATGCAAAAGCACATACAGACACGCACAGCGGCCCCCCTTGCTTGGCCTTGTTGTTCCGAGGTCAACTTGGGCAGGATGACAGGCTATGATGGTCGTCTGGAATGGGTTCGCCGTCGATGGTCAAGTGAGTAAGACAAGCCATCCATAAGTCCCGCCCGCCCGCCCTGCGCCCCCCGTTCAACAGCGGCCTCCAGCGATACCGGCGGGGGCGCTGCTGCGATCTAGCGTCGCAAGGGCAGGGCCGCCCGAAGGCGTTCTCCAGCTGCAGCCGGGGCACCGCAGATTCGGAACATCGTCGTCGCTGGGGTCATTCCGCGGGTCACCCCCTAGGAGGGGCGAACATGTCATGGAGCTCCCCGGGTGAGACAGCAGACAGAACGCGACTGCTTTTGTCACGTTTTTTTAGGATTTCTGAGGAGATTGGGTGGTTCGAAAGAGTACTCTCATGATACGGACAAACAAGCGTCCGCACAACCGATTCACCTGTCCAAGGCGCACACTGATAATAACAAACTTGTTTGTCTTTCGTATGCGTAAGTGTTTCACTGCGGGGGGGCACGCGGCTGGTGGCAATAGTTTGGCAACTCCGTACTTGGTAGTAGCAGAGGTGATTCCCATCTACCATGTTGCAGCCCTTGCTCATTTTGCATTTATTGCGGTTGATGGTTATAGTGCGAAGCACACATCTGCAATCTTTCCCGTCAAGCCACCCTCCATGACAGGTATAAGTCTCAACGTCTCGCAGCCAGGGGACAAATGGGTAACGGTTCGACGGCAGCTCAGCACCAGCAGCAGGAGCAGCAACGCCATCACGTATTGCTAGACAAGATCTCGACGTGCTCACGACCTTTCTTAGCCTCATATCGTAATCCTGTGTCATATTTCCCCCCTGGGCTCTTTCTTGTTATCGTGGCTCGGCAGTCCACGACCTTCGTTAGCCTACCGTAGTCTCTTGTCTTCTTGGGTGGGGCTCACGACCTTTCTTAGCCTACTGTAATGCCGTAATATCTTGTCGTACTTTCCCCCCTGCGCTTCTCCTTGTCATGGCTCGGCAGGCTTGGCGACTCCATCTCCGAGGGCACCGTGGTGGAGTGGCGAAAGTCGGTAGGCGACGAGGTGTCGGAGGACGAGGTCATTGCCGTAGTCGAGACCGATAAGGTCAGCGTTGACGTGCAGTCGACGCACGTCGGGGTTGTGGTGAAGCTCTTCGCGGCCGTCGATGACGTGGTGAGCCAAGTCCCCCTCCCCGACGCTTTGGACGGGGTTGGGATTGTGCTAAGGCATGGGTTAGTGTTTTCACTCAGGGGATGAGGTTGGCGGATTGCACCTCTGTTCGTGTACGTATCGCCCTGCCGCCCCTCTGTGTCGCTTTCAACAAACAGCTCGCGTGATGGGTTTGTGCTCTGTTTTAACGCAGGTGGAGGTTGGGAAGCCCCTGTGCACGATAGACGGGGACGAAGCTTCGGTGGTGAAGGCTAGGGTCCAGGCTCAGCAGGACGAGGAAGACGCAAACGCTCCCCCACCGAAGGTACGGGGGGGATTCCCCAGATGCTGCTGCTGCTGCTGCTGCTGCTGCTGCTGCTGATGTTGTTTTTGGTGTTGCTATTGCTGCTGCTGGTACCCACCTCGCTGGTGCCCCCCCCCCCCCCCCCCCCG